AATCCAATTTCACAGGCTGCAGTGTACTCAGTCATGTAAAATGTGTCTTATATATGTTCACATTATGGAGGTTATTATTGTCTCCCTGCAGAGTTATGGTGGCTTTTGTGCAGTTACCTACCTCAGCTTTGCCCCACAAGGGCTGAAGCAAGTACTTCTAACCGGCGGGATCCCTCCAATTGGAAGTGGATGCACTGCAGATGCCGTTTACAGAGCTTGCTTTGAGCAGGTCATGATTCAGAACGAGAAGTATTACAAGAGGTTCCCTCGAGATATTGAAACGGTTCGTGAAGTGGTCAAATATTTAGCTGATGCTGAGGGAGGTGGGGTGAGGAAACTCAACAAACCTTCTCTTTTTCACTTCTCTCTGTCTCTGATTCTTTTTTTTCTTTTTAGTTTTTTTGTTTCAGTATGTCCATTGCAAATGGAGCTGGAAGAGTCAATGTTGACAATTCTTCTGGCATCGTGCAAATAATGGACTAGATCAAAATGGCTCAATTAAATTCTAGTGCTTCTTCTATTAGTGAAGTTTCTAGAAAAAATATATCGAACAACGCAACGCACCTTGGGTCGCTATGGAAACAGCCCCCTTGTATAATTACAAGGGTAAGGTCAACTGACCCCCCAGACCCCAACATGTTTGGGAATATACTGGGTATGTTGATGTGATGATGCAGTTTTTTTTGTTTCAGTGATATAACTCGAATTTTTTCATCTCCTTCTATATCGCTTATGTTTTCATGTGCAAAAGGTTCCTCTTCCATCGGGCGGCATTTTAACACCACGAGGTCTACAGCTTCTGGGTTTGTCGGGTTTAGGATCTAGCACTGGTTTTGAACGTTTACACTACATGTAAGCCGACCTTCAGCATCACCCCCCTTTTTTCCCTTTGCTAGATCAGTATCTTTACTTTTTAGAATAGATTTGATTTGATCTTTGGATTTGTTAGTTGATCTTTTAAACCTTTGCCCACCATAGGTTTGAGAGAGTATGGGATCCTATATTAGTTCCTGGGGCACCTAAGAAAATTAGCTATACTTTTCTGAATGCAGTAAGTTTTTAACATTATTCTTACTCAAGTGCACTTATGAGTTATGATACACTCTGTTATTTAGTAACAAAATTGTACTTAATGCAGTACGAAAGGTGGTTGGATTTTGACACTAATCCTCTGTATGCTCTCATGCACGAGTCCATATACTGTCAGGTAAACTTGTTGCTTGTTGGCAATGTTTTTCTGTTGAAGTTATATGAAGTCACGAGCTTACTAATTTGGGAATATCTTTTGCTCCCCTCTCAAAGTTATTATCTAATTTGATTCTAAATTGTGTTAAAGGATGCTGCCTCAAGTTGGTCTGCTCACAGAATAAGGTCGGAATACGACAATAAGTTTGATGCAGTAAAAGCAGTCAATGAAGGAGCTCCTGTGCTATTTACTGGAGAGGTATTGTAAGAATTCGACTGAAACAGCAATTTACTTATTAATTTTGTATTTGTTCTACTATTTAATATAAATGCTTCTAGTCAATCTTTTTTTTTTTTTTTTTTTTTTTTTTTTTTTTTTTTT